AGAGGGCCTGGTACCCTGGGCAGCAGAGGGCTTGGGGGGAAGGGGGTCACTGGGTAAAAGTCGCCTTGGTTTCCCGTAGCCCTTTCTGCACCATTCTGCACACCTGAGCATGCTCTTGTGCGGTTTGTTATTACTTTCTTTAGCTAGCCCAGGCCCCAGGGGATGTGAATGAGACCCTCTGGCCCTCACCCCTGCCCCCAGCAGTTCCAGGCAGAGAAGACAGGCCCAGCCCTTCTGCCTTCCTCCCTCTCACTGCCCTGGAGTAGATGCTGACTCAGAGCGACCCTGCAGGACAGGGCAGAACACCCTGCGGGTTTCTGAGATGGGAACTGCTTATGGGTGGAGAAGACCCTCTTTCTCCCTTGGAGAGGCTGGGTTTCAAACTGCTGACCTGTGGTCACCGCCTGACTCCGCCAGGGCTCCGTACCTGGGACCCATCTGACTGCGGAGGACCTGCTGGCACTCAGTGTGGAGGGGCTGGCTGCTGCTCTGGCCAGAGGGCAGGGAACAGAGAGCCACTCACACTAGCGGGGGCAGGGAATGAGTGTGGGGCACTGACTGGCAGTCCCTGGAGAGGGGTGTGAGCTGGGCCAGTGTCATTGTCCCACTGTGATGGCAATGATGGCATGCGACTGAGCCACCTGTGTCCACCACAGCCTGTGAGGAGGGGTGCGGTTGTTACAGCCCCTCCGTTAGGAGTTGTGGGGAAGCTTCCGTGACTGAAGCTTGACAAGCTAGTTTGGGGTGTGCTCCGCTGGGGCTGGGACTAGGGACTGGGGGTCCGAAGAGCCAGGGGTTCGTTATAGGCTTGGAGTGCTGGCCCAGTTGCTCGTGGCGTGACACCCTGTTTCCAAGGGAGCATCTGTCCAAGGGGTTCTGCCCAGGACCTGCCTTCCCCGTGCCTCCCCTGGGTAGCTCCGGTCGGGTCCTGCATTCGTTCCTCTCCTGGACCCCTTTTTTTTGTCGTCCCCCCCCACCCATTTCTGTCTCCAGCCCTCACTCGCCACCTGCTTTGGGGAGGGGCACACCTCCTGGTCATGTTGTCCCCGATGGTGTGCACACACAGAAGTGAATCCTGCTGAGGCAGTGGGTTTAAGTGCTTGCCCCCTAACGGAAGGATCCTTAGTTCAAGGCCACCAGTCACTGAGCAGTAGAAAGAGGAGGCTGTCTGCTTCTGTAAGTAAAGGTTTGCAGCCTTGGAAACCCTGTGGGGCAGTTCTGCTCTGTTGGACAGGTCATTGTGGGTCAGAAGGGACTGGGTGGCAGTGGGCTTCAGTCCCCCACCCACGGGCTGGAGACTTCAGACGTCGTTGACAATTCTGCTGCCGCTCAGAAAGAGGAAGAGGGACAGGGGGGGTGAGACGGGAAGTGGTGCCCTAGGAGAGAGGGAGTGGGGTGGGTGGGCTCAGCGCAGTCTTATGTGGGGAGGAAGCAGCACAGAAGGGTCCTGGATGCAGACCTGCCAAGAAGACCCTCCCCTCTGGGGGCTCTGCTTTGAGCTTTGAGCTCCAAGATGTGGGCTTGGACCCAGTGAGCCAGCTGTCCCGCATCTGCTGGGAACTGTGTGGGGTGGGGGCAGGCGTCCAAAGAGTGTTCCTGGTGGGAAGGCCTGAGAGGTAGAAGGTGGCGGCACCCTCACTTGCCTGGTTTCTCCGAGTAAGTGAGCTGCAGCCCACTGGGAAAGGACGTCTGTCATGTTCAGAAACCTGAGGGTCAGTGACAGGGAAACCTGCCGCGAGGTGGACGACACAGTAGCCATTACAGTGGGCTCAAGCCCAGTGAGATGCGGGTGGGGGTGACACAGGACCGGGCAGTGCTTCAACAGCCTTCACCGACACATGCAGATGCCCCTCCCCGTCTCCTCTCTAAGGGTCCTGGGTGGAGGCTCATACCTGTGGGGCTTCTCTTCCTGAGGACTCTTAGATCAATTGCAACCACCCAGCTTTTCCCTGTCTGGAGGTGAACAGGGTGGGGAAGGCTTCCTATAGCCGTTCTCTCACCGGGGCTGGAAAGCCTGCTCAGCACAGTGTTGGCTGCTGGCCTGGCTCTATGGGTCTGGAATTCCCTTACGTACCTGGCAGTGTGCTCAGCCTGGCACCTGTGAGGGTAGATCAGCTTGGTGGGGACAGCAGGGTGGAAGAAAAGTTAATCACTTTCTTTCCCCATAGGGCTTAGTCTCGAACCTGCCACCAAATGAGGAGGGAATG